CAAGGGAATGAAGGCTGATCAGTATTTTAAAAACAAATGTTTATGCAGGTAAAATTTTTAAAACAACAACATATGTTCTGATTATTTACTGAAAGTATTTGATTAAACCGTGTGTTTAATACTGTGTGGTATTTGTGTGTTCCAGCTGAGAAGCATCTTAATTTCTTTAAACACTTTTACGTGAGAATTCTCAACAGATTTTAACTTCCTTCATAGCCAAGGACCATATTTGAGCTATACATTCAAGCCTTTGAATCAAATTCTGACTGAGGAGAACTCAAACAGGGTTTCAATGTGGCCCTGAGATGGCCTTGGTCACAGCAGCTATTTCAATTTGTTTGTTTGTTTGTTTGTTTTAAAATTGTCTTGACTTATGCAAATAATTCCCCATTGATATTCAAGAATTTTTAGTTTGGTGGCAGTGTTGCAGTATGGATACATATCAATTGCACTGCATCCGTCTGGACTCACAAGCATATTATAGATAAAATGGGCCATTAAACTACACAGGCACTAGAAAATGACAAAATAGCTAAAAGATAAGTTTAAACCTGCTGAGCACTTACCCAGTTTTTCTTTTTCTTTTTCTTGGAGTCAGCGTCATTACCACTGCCGATGCTTGAATGACTTGTAGCGCTATTGATGCTGGAAACACTTTCTGAAGAATGTTGCCGCCTTATGCGTAAATCTAAACAAAAGAAAACACTGTGAAATCCATCTGTCTCTTTTTCAATATAATAATAATTCTTGTATTTATGTAGTATCTTCCTCCTCAAAGGGAGCATAAATGAGCATAAATGGCATAGATGCTTGTAGTGGCTTGGATTCAAGCTACTGCAGCCTGTGAGAAACCACACGGGGTCAATGGGGATGCATACAATTAGGACCTTCTCCAAACTGGAGTTGTATTGACATAAAGGTGATGACCCCACGCAGCAATCTATGCAGGCATAAACTCATGTTACACATGGATTACTTGACTTAGTACTATCACATGTACTACAGTTGTTTTTCTGAGGAGCATAGGTACCACTTGACTTATAGCAGGCCTAGTCAGTGTTCAGATGCTACCTTCCACTATATGATGATGGAAACAACCAGGCAAGAGTTCATAAAAAATGAATGAAGCAAAATAATCAAGAAGTGGAGAATACTAGAAATGGTTGGTAAGTCTTTTGAGTTTCAATTTCTTAAAAGTCTCTGATAACTATATCTTAATCACAGGGAAATACTCTCGTAGACCATACTCATTAAAACCAAGGAAAATTACTTTTTACATTATTTTTTACATCCTAGAATTTAGCTTTGCTACACTCAAGTCTTGCAATGAAATGACCTTAGGGCAAACATCTGAATAATGACCTTTTTAAAGAAAGATCAATGAGCCTCTCAAAAGTGAATGCTACTATTACTTTTTTCTTCAAGTCCTTTGCTGTTGCTTATCAATAGGTACTTTTGAAGTATATATTTATCATGTGACATTTGCCTAACTGCAATGACAAATAAATCCAGAATCTGGAATTTAAAATATCTTCTTTCCTGCACTGATTTAGCACCTCATGAAGGAGCTGAGCTACTGTCAGTCCATCTCTTAATGAGTACAGCAATTTTTAGAGCTACATCCTACAATGCATTTCCAAGGAATGACTATGCTGTGCCATAAGACTTTGCTAGTGTCTTGAGCATACTTCAACACACAACTGAAGTGACAGGGTTAACTCTTGACACCCAGCAATTGACTCCTGGCCACCCAGTTCTGAGAAGACAAAGCTCCAGGAACTAACTCTGTGGCAAACAGGAAGCACACACAAGGATTCCAGCTCTGAAAATACCACAAGTATGCTCACCATGCACTGCAGACTGTACTTGCCCTTGCATCAGAGCCCCAGAACAACAGAAAAGTCGTGACTTAGCTTTTTTTTCTGGGGAGAAACCCTGCATTTATTTTAATAGTGACAAAAACATACCTTTGTGGGTATGATCAGGACCGTTCAAGGCTCCTTGAATAGCAGCTTGTGCAGCAGAATTCTGGGCTTTCAGCATTTCAATGGTTTCCCTTAGCTCTATAAGCTCAGATTCCTGTGGGAAGAGCAAAGAGAGTTCGAAATATATGACACAAGAACAATGTTTGTCTAAGCTAAAAGAATGACAAGATAAGAGTGGTCAAACCGAAGTTCATGGGACTGCTTGGATGAACGTAAGGGCAACAACTGACTAGAATGCATATTTTCTCTCCAAAGATATTAAATTCAGCTAACATATTATTTTGCTTTTATTCTGTATAAAGCAATCACACTATTTTTAAGGAGAAAAAAACCATTTTAAATAGAAGCTAATCTAAAAAAGGTTTTCAATTCAACATTTATTATAAAGCTAAGAGAAACTCAACAATTTTATTGTGAAAGACAATAAAACCAGTTGAATCATATCCTTTAGTATATGGAGCTACTGTTTAATGGATAAATCTCAACCTGAATTTGTGTGCTTTTTTAAAAAAATAACTTGCTAAATAATAATTCAATTACAAAAACCTGTTTAATAGCAACTGTCCTTCAAGTTGAAGTAAAATTACTCCACTTGAGTACAGCAAGTTCTGTATTAGAATGCACAGCCAATTTTAATTAAAAAATAGCTTTTGTTACTGCTGCATTAAACCTGTCCTTCCAGCCTGTATTTATATAATGAGGATTAAAGGAATTTAACCTCAACAATAGAGAAAAGAAAAGAAGGAAAAGAACATGTTCCAAATCTTTTGGGAAATAAGCTTGGAGATTATCTGTTTCAATGTCACTATTTAACCTCTTCTGGAAAGAAAACCTTCTGAGGGAAATTTTTCTTTGTAAAATAGTTAAAAGTTTTGGTTTTAAGAAAATTCCATTGTGTTTTTTAGCTTAAGATGAAAAACAAAAAGCAAGCAATACAAACATTTTCTATCCAGTTCACAATGCGTCTCACTGTATTTCATCTGTTGGTGCTCACCCAGACTGTTAAATGTTATTTTCATAGACAGCTACACTGACTCCAGTGGTGACTAACAGCTCACTTATATACAGTTGCTTTCACAGTTTGGCTCAGTGAGGCCTTTCTGTCTATAGGATACTGTTCAAAATGAAGAAAGGCAGAAAGTTGCAGAAGTTAAATCCTGGAAAGTGCTAAGCAGCCTCCTAAGCCTGAGGTTGGTACAAAGGCTCACGTTAAATTTACTCCCTATCAGGTTTAGTTTTTTTTCCCCAACAGTCAAAACAGCACAGTGAAAACCAAAACTGTTCCCTCATGAATAAGATTCCCAACCTGCATTAACACTCTGAATGGAGTCATTTTTCCCTATTTAAAGTCCTTTCCTTCCCACAACTCTACTCTTCTGACAACGCTGGCAGGCTGTAATGAAGCACACCAGCAGGTTATGATCAGTCTTTGTTACGGGATCCTTCAGTACGGATTAAACCTAGAGCTGCATATGTTTTAATTAAAATCTGGAAATGAAAGATTTTATCTTCAAACTATTCTATGATATTGTCTGGGTAAACCTGATGCTGCACAGTTTAATTCTCCTGGAGCTTTATGAAGATTTGATGGCAATGGCCATTAAAGACAGATCTGTCTGTCTTATTGTCACAGCTGTCCCTGTTTCCTTTCAGTGTTTTTAAAACAAAATTCTAATATAATCTGCTGACTGTTTTCCACATTAAAGCATCTGCTTTGGTAAACGTACCTTTTGTTCAGCTGTCATTGTTAGACTTTGCAATCGGCCGGTCATATTTCCCAAGCTTTTTTCAAAAGCTGCTACTAGATGAGCCTGTGAAAGAAACACAAGACAACATTCATCATTATAATAGCTCTTAAATGCACTTTACAACTTTCAAGAATATACAGAATGTTTCCTACATTTTGGCCAGTATGTTAAAATATTTTTTCCCTCCAAGGCCATTTTCTCTGGCTCTTTTATATTAGTTTTAAACTCAGGCTAAGCTAATTTGGATAGGTGAATCAGCCAAGTGCGTCCAGTGTTCCTCAGGCTTCGTTAGCCCCCCAAGGAGATTAGTGTAGGTATCTCTGCCTGGAAATGAATTATGGATTTAATGCCCAGTTTGGGTTTACTGATATATTGGCCAAAAGAAGTTTGCTCCCAAATAGAAGTCCAGGAACAATTATTTTCAATTATTGAACATTTCAACACTGAAATTCAAGTACTTTATCTTAAAAGGTAAGTTTTAACATCATAAATAAAACACTCCAGATGAATCCTGAGAATCAAAAAAAAAATATCACAGTTAGTTTTATAAAAGGTCATTGCTTAGTCTATTAGTCTTATATTGATTATATATGTGTGTGTGTGTGTTGTGTGTTTAAAAGTAATAAAACTTATATAAAATATAAATAAAGTATTTATACACTTGTGCTTATATATATACCAAAGACAATCTTGAAAATTGGAAGTCCTCAATAAGAAAAGCAATGAAGTTGAAACTGATGAAAAAATTTTAAAAAGTAAAACTTCATTTTATTTTCTAATAACATTCACCCTATACTCTATGCAAGCAAAATTTATACAAACAATATATCAACTCTTCATTTGTTCTAACTGGCATTGAGCTTTGCAGGCAGAGAAGTGCAAGTGGGCATAAAGAAACCAACAAGCTAAGCCAGATTGTACAGCCAAGGGAAAATAAGAATTTAATTTTTATGAAGTTCCATAAAATTCCATCTTCTACAACATTAAATAGTAAAAGCAGAAGGAAATACTTATTTTTTTTTTACTATCTCAAAAGTGGTAATAGGTAAAGTTTTCAAACACCGGCACTACAATACATTTGGAAATATAACTCACAAACAACATATTTACATGCACAAATGGATTAACTGAGATTCCTCACTGAGAAAATTTATTTTTCATTATAGCAGTACAGTGCCTGGCAAATTTTTTAGTTACAAATTTGTATGCTTGTAGAAGCATAGTTGAAATTGTTCAAATGTATGTGGCTGTACTAAATCTGAGGTATAATGAGAAAAAGACATAGTCCAAAAAGGATTCTTTTATGCACTTGAGGAGAAGAAAAAGAGCCTCCTGCCACCTTGTTTGGTATAGTATTCCTCAAATAAAAAGGGATTATCATGTACATAATAGTGGCTCACTTCTGTGTCTTTATTTCAGAGCTGTTATACTGATAAGTGGTTTTTGTGTTTTGTAAATAATTTTGGATTGCTATAAACCTTTCAGTATCTCGTAAACTCCTTATTTTACACTTAATAAACATCTGACAAGCTTATGCCTTGTAAATTTTTTTACTAGTAAACAATTTGTTTAGTTACTTCAGGGTACAGTGGTCCATCCACCTGCTTTCTCTATTTGCAGGGATGCCTTAGGGATAATTCTTTTGGTAAAGGATATGTACCCCAGGAACTAACTTTTGATAAACATGAGACTAGATACATATGAAATTTCTTAAATACTGATTAACATATTCTTATTTTAACATTTATAACATAGGCTGTATTCTTGAAGTGCACCACTGAAACCTGTCAATCGACATAAAATTATTCTACCTAGTTTGAAAACTACAGCCTTCAGTTGCTTTTACTATTCTACTTCTCTGAAAAAATAAAAGAAACTGGTTTTAATACTTACTTTTCACTTTAATAATTAGCTACATATTAAAAATATCCTGACTAATTTATGGTGTTTTAATTTCAAAGATGACAACCACTGACCCAGAACACAATTGGAGACAAAGTAGATTCACTACCACAGAATTATAGCCAAATGTCTCCTCATTACATGTGTTTAACAGGAAGCTAATGGAGCTCACTCTTCCCTGACTCATAAAAAAATCTACTGTTTGGCTGATGGCCCATGGTTCTGCTTTACCATGAGAATATTGATGGGGACTGAGGGCATGAAAAGAGGAATTATTTGCTTAATTATGCATTGCTTTTGTCCGTTTCTCACAATTAGACTGTGATAACCACAGTTCTTCTGTACCTAACTATGCATATTTGTGCAGAGTATTTTCCTATTTCCATAGCTACAATTTCAGCTAATATTTCTACAAGGAACTCACAGGAAAAATTAAGAACTAAAAAGCATCATTAAAAATGTCATCAAAGGTCAGTGAAACTATTAAGTTACTGTCTGATAGTCTTTAGAGAAAGACAGCCAGGTTACAACTATGGATTCTTACTAAAATTCAGTCTGTGATAGAGAACATTACCTTCCTGGAGTAGCACACTAAATTTTTTTGCACCATAAATATAATTGGATCATTCTTAACTCATTTGAGATAAAGACTATAAGGTCTTGATCTGCTGATAATAAAGAAGGATAATTCAAAGGTACATCAACTGAAAACTATTGAAGAAAAAACCTTCAATCACATTGTATATTACTTTAAGTGTTTATTACTACAGAATACTCTTCTATGAAATGCAAAATATTAATTTTACATTCAAAATAAACTGTGCTGCCTCTCCCCATTGTAGCAAATGTTTATTTACTCAGCAGTCTAGGGAACTCCTACTTGTTGAAATCTTATGCAGATTTGTCCCAAAAGAAATAATATGTAACAAAATAAGAGAAGTTTGAAAAAGTTTAGATTATCAGGATATTTATATGTGTGTGGAAGTATGCATAAATATATATATATATAAATAGTTAAATGCAAAATAATTTTAAAAAGAAAACGAAACAGATAGAAAGAAATCTGTGACTTTAAAAATGCTCATTAGAAATTAAAAATTCTGATTAGATACTTTGTTTACACTTACAATTTTGGTAACTGATTTTTATTGGATTGGTATTCCTATGTTTCTGAGGATTATTCACTTCATCCAAAAGGGTTCATTCTTTCATTCTTGTAAAAATATTTGCGAACTTTTTTTTTTTTCAAGTTACAGTCAATCCCTCACACCTTAGAAATCTCTGTGTTAGATTCAATAGTTAAATTCATGGCTTACATTATTTGAATACCATACAAAATAGCCTGAATACTGCATGTGCTTTAAATAACACTTACTTTAAAGAAAAAATACATCTTCACAATTAAATGCAGAATTTGTACTTGGAAATAGTTATACTGGAATTAGAGTTAAGTAACTGGATATTACTGGAAGTATGCCTACAGCAAAATATATCCATCTTTAACATTACATACATATTAGATACAGAGATGATGTACAGCTCAGTCTGTAGATCCATCACATATAGATTAATTTTTACTTAACAAGTTAAATTCCCATTGGAAATAGTCAAAGAGATGTATGCTCAGGGAATGACTTCAGTGCTAAGATGACAGATTTGATTTTAAATGTTTCCTTTTTAGTAAACAATCCCAGCCAGCCAAACCCCAAATACCTCAGCTCTTAGCTTTACAGCCCATCCTGAGCATGACACTGGCACACCCAAAGATTGTTGACACACTTTGAGATTTGATCTGCGGTGTACAGGTTTACAAAACAAAGGTAAATAAATAAATTTCCTCCCACCTGACACGGCTGAATGAAAGGAGGTGTGAGAGGCCAGAAGGGATCGGGTTGATTGCAAGAAGCAGCCATACATCTGGTGACCTTTTCTGTTCGTCGTCTGCTATTATCTTCTTGTTTGGCTGTAGGATAGTGGTTCAGAGCTGGCCAAACAAGAGTATTAGCCAGCGAACCCCCTCCGCTTCCTACTGGCATCCTGGGTCTACTACACTTTGCAAGCATGCACCCTTCAGCTTTATTCAGTACAAAGCACTGATCAAAGCCCCTCCAAACAGGCTGGGTTCAGGCTGCTGGCTGGAATTTGAGCCCTTGTCAGTCACGTAGGAAGTCTGCTGGTTGGACACTTTCTGCAGTGAAAACAGGCCCTTTCTTAATGAGTGTTGAGATTTGTCCTTCAGCAACATCGAAATAGTCACCAGGGGAAACGCCAGAATCTCAGAAAAAAATTGTAAATTAAGCATCCAAACAACAGCTGGGCCCTGCTTGAATTTAATCATATGCAGCTAAACTCTTTGGGGTTAATCAAATGAAATAAACTGCTGAAATCAAGCATAGTACTTGAGTCCAGCCAACAAAAAATGAATAATTAATGAAATTGAATAAGAAAAGTCTTAGCAGAGGTTTCCAAAATGCCAGAGAAATGCTATAACTTCCAATTGACAGATTTTTATATAAAGTAATATATCAAGCAAAGGCTTGATGGAATATGTTAAATTTCAGCCTGACAGTCTTTTAATAACACATGTACTACTGCCACCAACACTTTTTCATGGTGAAGCAAAGAAAGACATGAATAGTGTTGAAATGTGATGAAAAATATGCTGCTTTTTCACTCACGTACAATACTTTTGCTCAGTTCTACAAAGGGAAATGGTAACAACAAATTCAAGGATGAGATGAACTGTGATGGAACAAGATTTCTGGCTACTAACAGTTTCCTTCTGGAGACCACAGCAAGGAAAAAAGTGCTGCCATTTTTTAGACACTAAAAGTATGGAAATTTGGAGGAGCTTAGGACTAAGGCTAAGATGACTGCATCTATAGCAAAGGGATCAGAAAGAACTGAGTAACTTTCTGGTTAGCAAAGGCACTGCAGAAGATGCTCTGGTCACACAGTTCTCTCTGCCTGCCAGAGACAGATGTGTCTACAGAAAAGATATGCAGAGTGACCAAACGTTTTTCTGAAGTAGACTTATTGTTCATTCAGGTGCAAACGTGACTTTTAAGGATCACAGTAGTATTATCCATTTAGAGAGCAAAACCTGGGTTTGATTTCTTCTCTGAGGATAAACTTCAGCTTTCGTGATTAGGACTATTTCTTCTTTAAATGCCTGGGTTTGTATGTCTTTTAGATTAGAAGATAAATGAATACATGCAAGTAAAGCATTGCTAAGACAGTGTGAATTCATGAAAATTAGAAGGTCATCTGGGTTATTCGTAAGTTTGTCAAATTAAATCAAGTATCTGTTAATTGCTAATCATTTTTATGAAAAGTATATAATCACTGGCATTTAAATATCAGTTCTGTAATTAGACTAAATTTCAGAGGCCATATTGCAATTAAAAGATTGTATATACACTCTGTTTTCAAGCTGGACTTTATTTCTGATTGTTAAGTGATTCTCTGTAGAAGTTACTTACAAAAAATGCTTAAAGGACTGACAGAATTAGTACTAACATATCTTTATGGAGTCTCTTTTGTTCCTTTGGACTTAGGTGGAAGCGGTTTTTATAATGCTTTACATCTTCTGTGCCAGAAATAGCAGAGAAAGAAGTCAGAATTATGATTACTGTGAAATATTTTTCAATGTTTAGTTTTGTAAAGTATGTATCTCATGACAGCATTGCCAAAAGCATTTACTTACAATATCTAGTAATATCTACTTTTCTTTTAATATTGTTTGGACCATGAAGGTGTCTAAATCCCTTGTTCATGCCTGGAAAATTTGAAGCCTCTAAGTTTCATGCTCCTGACAAGTTTAATTTTGAGGGAATTTCCACATGAAGGGAATTTGGGAAAAGGAAAGATTTCTCTGGTATCATTAAAAAACCCCATGTGCTAAAAATATCAGCTTTAGGGTTGCTTATAGGTTTAGGGTTTAAAGACCGTCTCCATGGAGATGGATTAGAAGGTGGGTGACAGAGTCAAAAGAACGTGATCAAATTAACTTTTATACAACACACAGTGTGCATGCACACATATATGTATATATATATGCATGCAAGCACATACAGGTTTACAAATGTGGCACTTTTGGGTAGGCAAAACCAGATGCTCATGTATATATTTCTTAACTGTCCTGTTGTCCCTCCAATTAGATCACTATAAAAGCTATGGGCATTCTTACGAGGTGTTCAGAAGCCCAGAGGCGTACATGAGACCAGCTCCCCAACCAACACATCTTGAGTTAAACCGATCAAACCCAACTTATTTTTCACCCATGCAGCAGAATTAGTTTGAGTGAAAACCAAGCCAAAGTGTAACTGCTCATTTTTATCTTGACTCAGTGTCTTTGAAATATGAAGCTAATCTAATCTTAGACTCGACTTAGAAAACTTGTCTGGAATAGGTAATGTTATTAGACACCAGTCTGTATGGTATTTACTTCACACAATGGAATACCAACCAGAGATACAGGCAATGACTTCTATACTAACACTGAGAAGAAACTGGATGCAAATGGCCCAAACAAACCAAACAGTGGCCTCATTGCCTCAACTGTAGGGAAGAGTACCCTGCCATACTCACTCTGTTGAATGTATTACTGTATTATAGGCTACAGCATTGCTGGGTTGACTGGAAAAGGATGGAGACTAAAAAGAGTCATCTTTCAACAGATCCGCAAGAAGGAAAATGCTGGTGCTTTCTGCTCAGAACTAGTGGAGGGAGAGAAGGGCAAGCTGCTTTTCTGCCCACAGAGTGAAGTGACCCGTGTTACCAAGAGCCTGAATTATCCCCATCAGAGAGGCTCTCTCAGCAGCTCTAATACAGGCACCTGAGCAGAGGCCTACCACAGGCAAACAAATCGGTCTTACTGATGTGGCACCACTGCTCAGAATCACAGAATGGTTTGGGTTGGGAGAGACCTGTAAGGATCATCTAATCCAACCTTCTGGCTGTGGGCAGGGACAGCTTTCACTAGATCAAGGGCTTGCAGGCACCAAGCTAACTCTTCTGGACAACACCAACTGCTGCTGCGTGGACATTAATGGGGCACTCAGAGTGGATGTGGGGATGTCTGTGACTGTGCTGTGTCACAAGTCCAGCCACAACGCACCTTCCCATGCTCCCCAGCTCTTTTGACCTTTAGGTGTTAGTTTTAGTCTGTCGTCCTCAGGATGGGCGAGTGAAGAATTGCCCAACCTAGCAAAAATGAAGATCAGTGTCTAAAATACATTAGAGATGCTACCCCATACTGAGGATAGGCATGCTGGCTACAAATTCCTGAATGAATAACCTAACTCAAAATCTAGCTTTTGAATTTACTAACACTACAGAACTCCAACATTGTCTGCTTCATGAGTTCGTTCTCAGAACTCAGGACAGACTGGCAACCCACACCCCTACAGAGGTACAAACACCCACAGGTGTTCTACACCTGAGAGCAGAAAGTGCAAAAAGTAGCTATTCCACATTTTCGCATATGGCAGTCCTAAGAGAATAAGCAGTTTTCACACAGCTGGATATTATTTTCCCACACCTTGAACACAGTACTACTTCACTAACTGAAATAATTTATTGAAAATAATGGAAGTATTTATAGGTCTAAATAGTCAGTACATCTACATTTCAAAGAAAGGCACTCTGTAGGTTGCCCAAGACATCAGGAAACTGCTTTCTTGAAATGCACAATGATAGTCTCTTGCAACTGCATCTGAGCTTTCCTTGGGAATGGTAACTATAGTTATATCCTTAATTGCATTTGAAAACCACTATACAACAGATTGTTCAGAAACTATCTGGTAACTTCATCTGAAACCATAATAACCAGACAGGATTGTAGCTCAGATTCCCTATCTGGCATTATTTTCTGATAACATGTTTATAACTGATATTGCCAGTGACTGACAATTGCAAGGAACACCACAGAGCTCTCTGTGAAAAAAGCCCGGTTTCCATTAGGTATATATCAGTCCAGTTATTGCAGCACGTGAATTCCTTATACAATTTTATACTGTGCTTCCCTTCACTTCTATATGCATTTTGCAGGGTTTATCTTTGTGAAATGAAACTGTAATGAATTCTACCATAATCTGCAATCCATGCTCTTTTTTTGGTTGTGACTCCTTAATTTTGGGGTTTTTTGACTTGATTCAGAGGAAAGAGTGAAACTGAACTGGGCAGGACTATTGTCACATTCAAAGTGTGGAAACTCTCATTTCCATTTCCACTGTGTTTGATTACCAGATTTCTTCTGCTTGAAGCTGAGTCAATACAGATGCTTAATGAAATAATTAATTTGAAAAATGCCAAAATACATAAATAATAAAAGTCTCTCAGACCACATGTTGGTACCTGAATTGAGTAACAGTCATTAGCCAATCTGATAATGTATTCTCTGATACTGTTTCTGATCACAAGCAAAAATACTTACATTTGCTGAAAGCTGAGATGTAAGGGTAGCAACTTTCTCTTGTGAGGCAACGAGTTCTCTCCGTAATTTCTGAATTTGCTAGGAAAAAAAGACTGCTGTCAGTATTTCAGTAATTTCCTTCTGTTGTGGGTTTTTTATTTTTGTTTTGTTTTCTTAAAGGATCACTAATAGGTTTACAATGTCTTAATTTAATCGCAGAACTATTTGGAAATACAAATTATTAGAAGTTGGCACTGAATGCTGCTCCAACTGCTTTTTTTTGCACTTAACCGGTGTATGAGCTAGGATCCCAGTTAAGGGAGCACATATGGGCAAACGCTTAATTACTTCATATGTACAATCCTCTGTTTGCACGTGTAAATGTCATGATTTTTACCAAATTCCATAAGTTCCAAACATAGCCTAGTGAAATCAGTGTTAACAGTCCTGGATAAGGCCTGTGATTATGAAACATGAAAGAATTTGGATGAGGTTCACTTTGTTTGACTGTAGATGTGATGCAACCAACATATGTTAGATGTCTACATTAGACTCAAATGAAGTGCCAAAAAGTACTCTCCCACTGCCTGGCATGACAAAGGCTTTGATGACTACCTCAGACACAGATTTTTGATTCATGGATGTCTAAAGTTGGATGAGGCACTAGAGTATTTTTTTTTGTCTAACACAGTACTCCCTACAGTCACTGTGATTCAAACATGCAGCCTCTTTAAATCTTATATATCTTTCAATAAAACTTGCATGTCAACTTAAAAAAATTAGCTTTAAATGTGTTTGCTGATATGAAAATAAACTTAATTCAAGGCTCTTATATCTTTTTATGAGAAACAGAATCCTTAAGAAAAATACCTGTTTACATTTCATCCAGGATAGATACCTAGCATGAATCTTGTGCATCATTTTTAGCTCATCTAACCCTATTTGAGATCTTACAGGGATGCCAAGCATAGCACTGAACTAAAGCACAGCATGGAGTTTCACTTTGAATCTCCTGTCATATTTACACATAAAAGAAATTATTCCAGACTGGAGAAGTCAAGTCTAAAACTAGCCTAGGAAAGGGAGCATATAATATTCACTAGTAAAGGTATTGCAATACTTCTATTTTATGACTCCCATGAAAACCAAGAGGGAATATTGCACAAACTTTAAGAATAAACAAGTTCCTGTACATTTATGATACAAAAATAGCTAGATCATTTACACTGGCTTGTAGCAAAGGAGACAGATTATTGAGGTGTTCTCCATCCTGCATCGCTACTTCTCCTTTTCCAAGTTTTCTCTCTGTTTTACAATAGCAAATATTTGACCTTTCTGCTTAAGCTACACTTTTATTATATTCCTGCAACTATATAAAGAAGTTTCTCATTAAGTGCTGTTTGACACCACCTGCAAGAGCATGACAGAGCAGACCTAGATATTGAGAAAACATCATGTACAAATGCATGGGAAAGAAACACCTCTATATACTGCCCTATATAAAGGGCAATGAAATGAGGAATTGTCATTTACACTACTGAGCTATGGTATGCTTCTTTAGTTCCTTGGCTTTATATTTTAGACAAATGAGCTTAGAAAATTCAGGTAGAGATTATATTGAAATACACTGCAGGAAGTAAAGACGAATACGTTTATTTGTCCAACTTCCTCAAAATATCTGAGTTTACTTTTTTGATTAGAGTATTAAGAATAGAAGCAGCATAAATGCAAGAGCTGGAAGGCATGTAGCTCTGTGAAGTGGAAGTGCACCCCTTGGTGCTGCATTTTATTGCTGCTACTCCTTGGTGCCCTTTTAATTCAACTAGGACTCCATTTTGAGAAAGGCTGTAATTTTATCCAGCTGCTGACCTGTGCTTGTCACCCATTCTTATACACTGTGAGGAGAAAGAAGTTGTTTTCCATGTCAGATTTGATTTATATCTGAAATCAATCTCCATTGCTCTGAAATCCATCAAAGTGGTCAGTTTCAGAAATTTAATATAATGCAAAATGTAAGGGAGAGAAGTTCAAAGCGAACATTTGAAGTATTTTTCTCCTGAAAGGCAGCACATAACCTAGAATTGCACAGTCCCTTAGATCCAGTACAGAGTGGTATTAAGTCTGAAATTAGGCATATCACAACTCCTCCGCTCAGAAGCCTGAGGCTCATCGATTCTTTTCACCTTTTCAGGACTTCAGCCAGGAGGCATTCTTCAGTGTGACACTAACAAAACACCTTCTCCTGCACTAGAAGCTACATCAGCTCTTACCAGTACTCCCCAAAAAGTGGTTCAAAGGCACAGAGTGTCTTTTCCCCAGCTACTCAGCAGTTTAGCCATAGCAGAGAAACAATAAACTTTAACATAATATAATACAATTCACAACTATAGAAACAAAAAAAAGTTTTTACCTCTGAATGTGCCTTTTCCTCAGCCTGGAAGAAAACAAAGAGGAAATGGCTTAGAAACAGTATGCAACATAATTGCAGTAATAGAAAATAAAAGCCAGCTACACTGAAGTGAAATGAATAGTTCCACGGACCCATTACATTTAAGGAAGGTATGCAGCTAAAACAATAAAGCGAATTCTTTTCAACTTACTTGGCAAGGCTCCAGCTGAAACCCCAAAGTGTTTGCCAGCATACTGACAACATGAAACAGTGGGTAAAGGGAGAACAGGAACAGACCTGCAGAAACTCAGCTACATTTCTAAGATACAAAAGACAATTTTCTGTGCTCTCACTGTATGGACTTCAGTCTGCTACCAGCAAACTTTTGCACCATCATGATTATGATGGCTCCTGGAGCTGTATTAGCTTTACTTTATATCAAGCAATATTCCTAATAGACTAATCCCTGTTAAGAGAAGCAGGCAGCGTACCAGTAAAACAAATATGCTACCAAGGCATGTTAAAGTTTTAGCTTAAACTTGCTAATACTATTTAATAATTTTAGATATTTTCCATATTTTAATTGTTGTGCCATATAAAGATGCTATTTACTCAATAGTCTTTTTCAACAAGCTAAGAAACAAAATCATTGCAAAGCAAGCCTTTAGAAGTCATTAAATTTGTAAGCATGGGAGTAGTCTAATTTAAGAGGCATTTGGTGAACAGAAAAACATTGCTTCAGTGGAATTCTAATGGAAAGGAACAGCATGCCATGAGAGAGGAACCCTTTTGTAACAGAAAATAAGAATCAGTTAATGTATCAGAAATAAATCCACCCAATGATCTGAGGTGGACCAACTTCAGAGAAGCAGTCTAAAATTGTCTGGAAGAGAAGTAAGCAGTAAAAGGAAAATGTGGGTAGAAGAATTAGCTGTAAATAATATTGGAAAGGCTAAGAAAATGCAAGACAAGAGTTCGTCAGAAAACTCCCAGGCAACAGGCAGTATCTGTGTTATTACAAATTAATATAGCAGGTTTTTTTAAAGATTATATTAAGCATAACTTTTTTGCTGCTAGAATTGTAATATTTAATTATAGAAGTGTTTTCTTATTTGACCTGGTGTAGGGGGAGAAGACTTTTAGAAAATATGTCTTTCATAACTTTTTATCTGTTAACAGTCATGAAAAGACTGACATGCTATGATATGTCCCTGTGTAACACTTATAACTGTTCTTGGCTAAAAATGCTGTAATGCCTGGTCCATAACTATATGGGAATGATTTAGAATAATGATTGTTATATTTAATAGTACTGATGTAACACATGTGCTGACACTAACCTTCTGATCTATGTTCACAAAAAGGACATCTGCCTACAGAAATAATTGAAAATCTATTCTCATTATTGCTACTTCAAACATGTAGTGCACAAGAAGTCATCAAAAGATCAAGAAAGACCATGTACCCATATGAATTCCACTGTGCTAAGAAAAGCAAAGAAAGAGAAAAATTTAGGGTTGGTGACCTTTTACTGAAACTGTGATGTGGGGACATGGTCCCTCGTCCTTAGACCATTGGTCCCCACTGATGAAGGAAGTTACCAGATGGCTCCCTCACTGTACAAGGAAGCATTGCCTCTCTCGCAGAGTTCAGAGAGGTGGCTCCCTCAAGTTAACTTCTTTTAGGCAGTGGAAGAAGTAAATGAAAGAGAAGGAACAGGATTTGAGGCATATTATCAACTTAGAAAAAAACAAAACCAGACAACCACATACATCTGAGCTGTTTTTAGCTAAGAGTTCATGCTGACACCATTGTAACTAGCACTTGGTCATTGGTTCAAAATGCTGTGAAAGAAAATATTTATTTTCTCCCTCTACTTCTCCCTTATATCCATGCATCCTATCCTTGTAATGATTACTTTTTTCTTTTTTTTCGAATACTGAAAATATTGAAATCCAAATGGTATGTCCTTACACATCTCCTTTGAGCTTGGCTTAGCACAGTTAATGAAGTCTGGCGATTCCAAGTGTAGCTAAAGCTGAGAGCCAGTGCGAGAAAAATAGCAATTAACTAAATATGTGCAAATTGCAGTGTCTCACCTACTGAGCAGAAGGAGATTAAAATTGGAGACAACCTACCATAATTTACACTATCATGCATATTTTTCAACTTCTTGGTGAGCTAGATATATTTAGAGCAAAACTGAATCAGTATTTCAGTCTTCAATGCACTTACATGGCATACTTTTCTGTGAAACCAAATATCTGTCTCTCTACATGGATATCTCTAGAAGTTAGATTTCCAGTCTATTAAAGTAAGTCCTGAAGACTCAAATGCAAATTAAGAAGAAAGCCAATAAATAGAGAAAATACTACTGAATGCAGAACTTCTGTCTCATTGGACTTATTCATTGCAATGGCAGTAAATCTTGAAATGTCTCTTCTGAATCTCATATTCTAACTCTTAAAGAAACTATCTTCAGAGAACAAATTCAAGCTTTTTAGCTATCCTTTGGTAATAATACATAAAGATCTTGATCTTTATTTAGCACTCTGTCTGAATCTCTCCAGTGATTAGGCTGCAGAAAAACACTAGCACCACGGCTGAAGGTAATGCTTGAGAAATTTGCTAAATACATTTGATTGAGATATTTATGGAAAGGCAGCTGCTTTGGAATTCATGCTTAGTGATTTTGGCCTGCTTAAGTAAGGCAAAAATGCTCTTGTACTCCTCCTTGAAGCTAGAAATAGCTGAAAGCAAGTAACACGTGCCATAACCCCTTGAAGCTCTCCTTTTCTAGAGGAGATGGGGCACTGCACCATATCATCAAACAACAAAATGTTGTTCTTTACTTTCAGCTGATGTCATGCTGATTGCCAACCTTTCCTCTTTCTACACTCCACTTGTGCATCATCTTCTGATTAATTGCTGAAAAGTTTAAACTTTTTTCACAGAATGAGGAGGATCAAGAAGAAGAAATTCTGATCAAAAATCACTGCTGAAGGTCAACTCTAGTAATTTTATGCTACTAATTCCTTTCTTGCCCTTTACAGATTTTTCTGTAACTTTCATTATCTTGTCTACATAATCCATAACTTAAGGAGTGGGGCTTAGCTGCAGTGTGAATTCAGAGTCAGACATTTAGGAAGATATTCCACTGGCTTACAGTATGAACTTGGGTAAACAGTTAAGTTTGTTTTGCAGGAAAAATACTGTCCTCTAATACCATGGGATTTAGGTAATATTTTCAAGATACTCTATAATCTTGAATGATAGCAGGTTATATAAATAGAAAGTATTAGTAAACCCTTGCTTCAATACACAACATCAGAGCAGAGATATTTAAGATTCACTGATTAATCGGATACAGAAAGCATCCTTTGTCACTTTGGAATTTAATTTTTACTAGCTATCAGTTTCATAACATTCTTCTAAAATTTGATATCAACGCTCCAATTATAAATTTGGACACTCACCCTCTCAGGCAAATTGATCATAGTGTCTCATAAACAGGGAAATACTAGCAAATATTTTTCCACTACAAAAACATAGGTGAGAAGCTTTGCTTTGAATGTTAGTCATACCTTATGTGCAGCCAGTCTGCGTGTACGTTCTACCTCCCGAAAACAATCTGGGGCTGGTTTGGACTAGAATTGCTTGCTATTTGCTGCTAAGGCCTGGACAAAGCCAATGCACGTGTACCTGATGTTTTAGACATTCCCCTAGACAGAAATAGAAGAGGCAACACTGTGGTAGCTGTTGCACATGGATGCAACCTAATTTCCAAGCTAACATGAGTTTAGCATGGAAGTAGCACTACCACCTGTACAAGTGGTACAAACGCACCAGACTGTATGGGCTTGGTATTCCCAGGCAAAAACTGGTGCTGGCTCTGGGTAGTACTGTCCATGTCATTCTCGGGATGTCAGCTGACACTATTCAACACCTGAAAATATGAAGAGGGGACAGTCTATTCATGAATGCATGGTATGAAAGCAGGTAAGTGTGTTGCTCTCCTGTGAAAGAGGGCTGCTGCAGCGAGTAATCGTAGTTAGCGAATAGGCTGTAAAGCAACTGTTGTGAATCAGCAAGAGAATGTCCAAACACATCTAAGTCCTCCCATACAGATGAGTTCTTTTTAGCAGAACAACTGAAGCAACAAATTATGAAGAACATCTCAAAAAAGATACCAAAACAATAAAATGGAGAAAAAAATCAAAACCAGAACTTCTGCTCGAGCTAGAATACAATTACTCAATCTAATTTAATTAACTAAGATTAATAATTTTAAAGACATTCTTCTCTTTGGAAATAACATCTAAATGCTGTTATCTGCAACAAAGATCAGTAGACATTTAAACTGCAAATTGTATCTCCCTTACCCTGAAGCAAACTTGTTTTTTTGAACAGTGACATGACAAAAACACTTTCTAAATTGTACAATTAGAAAAGCAGCTGAAAATAAGCAAAACTACTCAAAATTATCAACTACAATAGCATATGGACCCCTTTAAACAGAGAATCACAGACCATTACCTTCTTTTTAGCTTTCAAAACACACATTAGGTGGTTTTAAGCAGTTCTAAGCAAATCATATAAAAAGGTGAAAATAATGTATTCTAAAATAGCATGACAGTAATACCAAAGTTGAAAAGAAATGTTCCTGCTTTATTGCAGTACAATTTCAATCCTTCTAAACCTCAAAGCATTGAAAGTTTCATGAACAATGAACAAGAACAGAGGCAGGCAGAAATTTTTTTTAGTATGTCAATACTTACCGTAGAGTAGAGAGAGGATGTGCTGGAGACCAGTGATAATGAGGACCCATGTACTTTAAAAAAAAGGAAAATAATGTGAAATATTGATGAAAGCATAAAACTCCCCCCACATACCTCAATAACTAAACGTCTTTTTAGGACGAGAATCAATCTTCCACAAGAGCAATTATGAGCTATCAGTATAGAAAAGTTATTGATAATTTTCCTGCACTTAAAAAGATTGTTCTATACAAAAAAAGCGCCCTTCGCTCTGTATGAGGTAGGAGAGCAAGCCAGTGAGAGTCAGTATTATTACTAGCAAACCAAGCATCATTTTTGTTGTTTTGACAACAAAATCGCTTGATAAATACAGTCTTTAGAGAAACCAGAAATTGAGCTATTTATACACCTGTCCAAAACTGAGGAAATCGATTTTAATAAGAAACGATGCTTTGCAAAAGAGTTCGTGTTCCCTGGGGCGAGCTCCCAGGCTTTGCTCAGCTGGTTTCTTCCCTCAGCACAACATAGACCCACGCATGCTGGCATCTGTGGTCTGTGTGAAGGGGTTACTGCAAGATGTAGTGCCGTATTTCCAGTAATCATCAGTAGAGGCAGCCTCAAGAGCACTGAGTGAAAGTTGCAGGACTTCAACTCAAAAAATGTGATTCCTGGCCTCTCTGAAAGTGGCAAGTGAAGACTAAACCGAGACAAAATTGCCCTTCTGCTTCCAATGACTATACTGAGGAAAGACACATCAATAGAGAATTTTAAAGAACGTTGTTTATTTCATTAATTCTTTTCATTTTTGTTTCAAAGTAATTTTTAAAAATATTTATAATCAGCCAGATTTTGATAAATAAATTATTTTGCATTTATATTGGTATCTGTATTCTAAACTGACAATACAAGAATAATTGGGTTAGCCTAACGGACTTTAAATCCAGTTTTGTAACAGGGCAAATATTTACAAAGATGTGGTACACTAACCATTGAAATCCTCTTACTTTCAGTCTGTCTCTGGTTTTCAGTCTGCTTTAAATCTCACACCTAAACTCCCATTCTGCTCTTGTACGCTGTGATTCTACTCATTGCCTCACTTCTTTCATTCTAACCTTCCTCAGAGCTCCTATCTTAAATAAAATACATTTGGCCTTCCAACATCATCATCTCATGTTAATCTCTAATGACCGTAAACTGCTGAAAACTGTTTATTATTGCTGCATTGACTTTCATTTACTCAGGTTGATCATGGCTATCCACTCCAGCTGGATACGAAACATGACCAACGAAAAAGCTTTCATCAAAGCCACTGGTGACCCATTACTGAAATTCCAGATTAACACCTCTTTGCTATGCATAAATTATTTGCCCTGTTTTCTCTATTATTCTTCCAGCGTTTCCTTTGATAATTCTCCTGTTCCTCAGCAAAGGTCTGTAGTCACCTCTGTCCTTGAATTACGTGACATGTTTCTGTGCAGTCAGCCATCTTCTCTGCGCTGACAACTCACAGCTTGATCTGTTCTGCACCCTACTGCTAGTGTTATATACCCAGATGTCTGCCTGCCATATCAGCGAAAATAAAGAGAAGCAATTGAAAAGTACAAGTATTAGTTGTCCATTGTTTCATCTAGGACTTTTTTCCTCCCATATTATCTCATAACTATGAGCTTTGGGGATAGGAAAAGCTTTTTTTAATTTGCTTGTTATAAAGACCATTTATATTTTCATCAATTAGCAGTAAGCAAGATTGGTGAGATGATGTTATACAATGAATCTCCATTCAATTTTAGTGGGGTGGTTTTTGTTGTTTTTTTTTTTTAAATTATTATGTTGTGGCCTGGGTTGTTTTTTTTAATTAAAGAGTGTGAGAACTTTGTGCTTATGAGAATTCTGCAAATATTCAGATTTACCAGAACTGTTTGGCAGAAGAAAATGTTACAGTGCACTTAATTAAGAGTTGTCAGATGCTCTGTGGTTAAAAAAAAATGAAAAACAAAACCAAGACAAAAAACATTGCCCAAATTCCAGGTGTTGTTCATCGCAGTAAAGAAACCAAACCAACAGTAATAGTCTGCATAAAAAGTAATGAGGTCAAGGTAAATGACAGAGTTTAAATACAGAAATTCACATACTGTTTGCTGTAGAAGACTGTAGAAAAGAAGGAAATCAACCGACTACAAAAGAAAGGGGATAGTAGGTAGCACTGGCATTTGCAAAAAAAATAAAAAAGGAATAGAGAAGTAGTGAGACTAAGAAAGCATAGAATGACAGCTGTCAAGCTATGCTCGTACACTGCAGGCAAAAAGAAGAAAACAATTTTTTAAACATGGTTTCATTTTGTCCAGAATTTCTGGTAGAGGATTTCTACTTGTATGCCATTCACAGTATAGCATGTTACTGTGTGAAATAAATATTTTTCATGCTTTAGGGTAAGGAAGTCCTGTGAGTTCAGCTCAACAGAATTCGAAAAAAGCTTCACAAAATTATTTAAATTTTTATGTTGCAGAAAAAAATATTTTAAAATATTACTACACTTTGGAGGCCTATTTGCTGATCCAAATAGTAGCTCAGCCTTACCTTCTTCCATGCTGTCCCTGAATGAACCTGAATGACTAATTGCTCGTGGTCTCTCTTCTAAGGATGTCGCACTGCCGCACAGCTGGGAGTCATCATACAGATCAAAAGAAGTGTCTTGTGCAGGGATGCTGTTTGAACGCATCATACTGGGTCCAGGAAGGTTAAACTGAGATAGGTTGGTTGGACTCACTGGAATACAAAACTTTACTAATGAAGCACATTTCCATTAATGAATTTTAATTCTGCACAGAATTGTAATGTCAGACTAGCATGGTTAGCATGCTTATGTTGTTGAGAAAATAAAAGGCTTTTATTCCTACATACAAAGCCACCACAAAAAGGTGAAGCAGATGATCTCTGAGGAGCTGGCGCTGGATGAGACTAATCCTGTAAAAAATATGGGGACACTAACACTGGTGTTGGAATACACAGTTGTTCACTTTGACACCCCAAGATGGGAAATCAATGGGAGAGATTAAAAAGTTAAAAGTTAAAAAAGGAGTAAGAAGTTGTAAGAACTTATTATAAGCAGCTCTTCTAACAAATCATTATCCATATTTTACTGTTACATACCTATATTAATGACTGCTGTTAAGACCAAAATTTATTGGCATATGCAAGACATTTATCCTTTGATTTTCTGCAGCACTTACCACTATATTAGGTTAAAATTCCTGCACAGGCTAGTTGAATCTCAACATAATAAATAGGAGTATTGAGCCATGATCACTCATGGCTGAGATTCAGAACAGCATTGATGAATCTACTTTAAGCTTTTGCAAAGTTTGTTTGCCAGCAGGAAGGAAAGCCTGGTTATGTTTCATCTGGACCACATGAACTCAATGCCTAGAAGAAAAAGCTAACTGTCTATCCACATTCGTCCTCAGTGTTTGGACTTTATTTTAGATCACACAAGAAGTGCCTTAAGTCATAAACTACCAGAGCAGCTGTGTTGTGAGAGCAAATTTTTCCACAGGGCTATGATAATGGAAAGAAGCAAAGGACAATGAAAAAAATAAAACCCTCTGATCTTATTGCTCTCTGTTGTGAGTACGAGAACTATGAACAAAAAGAATGAGAAGATAATTGTAAGCAGAAAATGATAGAGTGAGAGAAACACTGCTTAAGAAGAGCTGTGTCTAAACCACCACCAGTACATGGAAGAAATCCAAAGCAGTGGCTTGCTTAGCCAGGATTCAGTTTCATTTTTTAAAAGTGGCTTTGTTCAACTTCTTTTCCCATATGTAATAAAGACCAACATTTGTATGACTGATCAAATTTCTTTTGAGTGATTGTAACTTACATATGCCATAAGCTGTGACAGAGTGACAGAAGTGTGAATGCCTCAAAAGTTGCTGCTAATTCCACAGTAAGGGCCTAAAAAGCTCATTGTGGAGCTAGGTATGTGTCCAGAGCAGTGCAACTAAATGATTTTCAACTAAGCATTAATGAAAAAATTACTACTAAAACTAAATTTGTGTTAGATTAACTTGAAACAAGATCCTGAATAAATAAAACTAAGTATTGACCTGTAATCAAATTAATCTGAAATGTGACTCACATCCTAAAATAATATATAGCATTCAAGGATAGGATGTGGATTGCGTCCAGTGCAGTTATAGCCAGGTCCAGCCACTGAAAGGCATTGGAAAGGCCTATCTAAAAGCAAACCTCTATATATAAAAAAGGCAATATTTAGTGTCTGGGTTGACATTCACTAAACTCCCTGGAAAGAATCTTACTGACAGTGAGTCCTAAAAGATGAGCAGCTCTGAACTACAGGCTAGTTTCCAGCTCTGCCTCAGATTGTCTTCTCCTTGGGCAAAGCATAGAGAATCTGAGCTTTTTTTTCTGTATGCAAAATAAGAGGTACCCTGGTCTATTCCATGAAAAATGCCATTAGTGAGGTACCACAATATGGTGATGGAGATGTTAAAATAAATCATTTAGTCTGGCAAACCAAGAAATATGAGTAGTTGAATTTTATGATGCTGTTCTAAAGTGGGAGAAACAGTGAAGGGAACCATCATTTACCCAGGTTGGAAAAGTGATATTTTCCAGTTGCAGATGAAGACATAGCTGAAGGAGAAACAAGCGGGGACTGACTGCCAGTGTCTTGCAGGCCTCCAGTTGAATGGGAGCGTAGCCATTCCTTGCCTTCCTCCTGACTCATCTGCCGGGACGATGGAGTGTATCTGAAAAACCACAGCTGACATGCTCAAAACAATGACAAGTTGATGGTTTGGAAAGAAACAGGTGTCACATAAATACCGTTTGCCAGTTAGATACAACAAAACCCTTGGAAAGCATCAAGGCTAGTCAAGTGATTATCACCAGGGATTTTAACAAGGTAAAATTTACCATCTTATTACAACAGAGGTAGTACAGGACTTGAAACCCTCTTTTCTGTACATCCCCCTCCCCAAACCAGGATTCTCTTCCTTTGAAGAGATATGGTGATAAACCACAGAAGACGGACAACCAAGCTGACAGGCAAGGACTTCAAAGCTGTAGGAAATGCACAGGTTGATGCAAAAGCTTGAAAGCTGTATGTCTAGGAAGGGGAATGGACAGACTAGAAGCCAAGAATTGTAAGTAGCTGCTTACAAAATGACATCTTCCACAGAGTATGTGGCCAACTGGTTAGATGACAGGAGTGAAACAGATCAACAACTCTGAAAAAGGAGTTTGCACTGGTAATGACAGCAAGTCATGGTCATACGTGTGGTCTGCTGCTCTGAATGCTACTTGGCATTGTGTCCTGCCCCAAACTGGGGGGGGGAGGGAAAGGGACAGGAAAAACCCACAATTAGCAGAAACAAGTTCTCTGGAAGGAAGAAGTTTCACAATCAAATCATTCATCAACTGCTTCCTTTGGCAAACCAATAAAACAAGTGCAGCTTGACACACGGGCTAAGAGGGAGGACTGGTAACTCACTGACCCAGTCTCTCTTGTCTGGGCTGGAAGAAGGGCAATTCTGGTGGTGGTTAAACATTAAAATGTGCAGGCAGTGTGCATCTTAATCAAGAGATTGTTTTCAGCAATGTCTGCAACAGCCTGCTTCATTCAACACAATCTCCTGCTGAGAAATGAGCACCTTCTTCACCACTGTCACGAGCCATCAGTGTTCCCTTCACAGCAGAGCAGAAAGGGCTTTTGATTCTCTGGCTTCAGGCTTGCAAGGCATAAGTATTTCTGCTTAGAAAGCAGATTAAATGAACATGTAAGTTGTCATGTTGTGCTTGGGGTTTTGTACAATATTTTACGGCATTAAAACATCTTGTCCTGATTAAATATTTACTTCCTTTCTCCTTTCAAAAAGACAGCTACGGTCTTTGCTTATAAATGTGGTAGAGCAGAGTTACCCAGCAGTTATCAGATCAGCAAGATGGCAAAACGAGAATTCAGGATCTGGGTCTTGGTCTGGGATCTCTGCACATTAAATCAAAATGATGGTCTTTCTGGGATACCAACCAGGATTATATGCCTACGAGTGGTTTTCCCACTCTATTTCACTTTCAGCTTTCAGCTACCATTATAATTGTACAGCCGCAAACCTCAGTTATCCCACGGTGCCCTTGCAGGGTTCACTTTATGCTTCTTTCATGTCCTCCACGTTTTCCATTCTCTTCCAATCCAAAGTGATTGTTTTGGGATAATGGCAAATTAGATTAAATTCTTTTTAAGGAACAGACAGTGCAGAAGAGCAGAAGGTGCTACCTAGTGGCAACACTTTAGCACTATCTTGAAATTTCATAAAATACTAATCAATAACTCAAAAGGTTTAACTGTGTGATTTCCGTGACTGGAAGGCTGCATAGTGTCTGTGTGCATGCACATATACCCTTGCTTGCCAAATCTCCTTCCTGGATTAGGGAGACAGGCTGCGATGCTCCATGAGATCAGACAAGTTACCTAATGATCCCCTCTTTTAACCATGGAGTGCAGAAAAGGGCAGATGACTGCTGTTTGCTGTGATGAATACAGCTCTAATTAGTGGGGAATTAGTAGCAAAGTTCGACTCTGAGTATTGCTGGATAGAGATCAAGAAGACTGGCTGGAGCAGGGCTTGTTTTATACTTACAAATCTTGGATATTAAAAGGAGTATTTTCTAGCCTTACCCTTTACTAGATCTCCAATTCAAATTACATGAGTGTTTGCCTTTAGAATTCAAGTTTAGATCCACCTCTAAAACCTTGTTTTTCCTGATAGTATTTTCAACAATTAGTCCCACTGAATTGCTAAAGTATCTTGTTCTGTCTCGTTTAGCTCTCCAGTATTCAGTGCCTTTTAAGATTCATTGCATAAGGAATCTATCTACCCTTTAAAGTATTCACTTTTCATGACATATCTTGTAAAGAAAATTATTTACTGGGCAGACTTGGAAAGAAAAAGTCCATTGTTAAAATCTACATTTTTTGTTTTGTGTCTAAGTACCAAAAACTCTGTTGTAAACATGATGAACAAAAAGAGAAAGAAAAGGAAAGATAGTGTAGAAAAAGTTACAGAAAAACAGAAGATCAGCAGTCATGCTCAAAAAATATATATACCTTAATCCCTTTTTGGGTAGTGTATTTCTGTCAAGCTGCATGCTGTTAAAACAAAAAAAATCCCTAAGGATACACAGTAAACAGGACTGTTCAGAATTACAAATTTTAAAGGTTTAGATGTGTGTGTATAACAGAAGGTCATTTAATGCTTTTTAATATATCTTTCATGATAAATTCCTGACTCATTGGAGGTGACAATAGGACAAGGACTGCTGCACATTCATTTTTCTTCTAGACATGCTCTGGGCTGGGTCAATAGTAATTTGGAGAATGTCCAAGTCAGAAAGAAGTCCTTCCTTACCATTTCTAACCTTCCTACAGCTTCACCCTGCAATCTGTGTGAGAATCATATGGTCACAGTGTGAATCTTTATTTTTCACAGTTGCCTACGATATGCCAATACATTTCCAAAAGAAATGAAGGTTGTGGCACCTGCTAAGAGGCAGCATGGCCTTGCCAGAAGCCAAATGACAGCTCTGCATGTAGAAATACGTGCTAAATATACAGATTCTTGGCTTTCTGTTGCGGTGGGGCTCACACAGTGAGGCGATGGTGGGGACAATGAAGAGTGGCACCAGAGCAATATTGTTCCATATTCATGCACACACAGTGGCAGAGTGGCTGATCACTTGAGCTCTATGGCTGGAGTTTTCCCAATTAAAACCCCATCACTAGGAAGGTGATCACTAGCCTTCCTTCAAATCAAGTGTCATTTGAGCATTTTCTCATAAAGACCTGGTAGCTCAGTCCCTGACTAGTGTGGGTTGAACTTGAACTAGTTGTTATCAAGTAAGTGTTGCAGTGTTTTTCCCTTAAGAACATAATTTAGTGTGGCCATATGGATTAAATAGTGAAATGGCTTTAGAAAGTTTCTGTATTACTTATCATAATCATACCTCTGAGAACCAACAGTAACTTAGGACCTTTCCTACCCAGGAAAACTCTCACACCATTACTAGAGGTCATTTTCTATTGTGCCAGGGGTGCTGAACACCCCACTGTCACATAACCTTGATCCAGGTAGGTAAAGGCAGTGAAAATACTGTTGGTGTTAACAATCCATTGCTATTAGGGTTCAATCTAATGGAAGAAAACCCCTCTTACCACCAGGAAATTTTATAGGCAATTTTACTCATTTATTCAGGGCCTTGGGGAGAAAGCAAATGGAAGGAGAAACTTAGCAAGATTTCAGCATAGGCCCAGCTATCATGGTCCATGTGAGATTAGTCCTCTGTCAGACAGAGAACCAAATTTTCAACATTTTGCTCTCAACATACCTAACAGGACCAAGAATGGGTGGTAAAACAAGAACATACATTTGAATGCATGATTCATGCAGGTTTTAGTTCCTTACAGAGAAGAATGGGTCCTTTATGTACCTTTATGCACCTCTAAATTTCAAAACAAATAAACATGATCATAACAAACCCAGTCTCTTCTGCAAATATTTTAAACATCCTAATGAACAGTACATTCTCTAGTGTTACTTTAACCTGAAGTTCTATGTATTTCAAAATAATATATAGCAGATTATCTAAAAATAAAGGAGCCAATCACTCTCCTTTTAAGCAATCCACAAGCAAATAGTTGTAAGTCAGTCAGACAAATATGCTAATAGTGACCATAGGATTTTGCAAAAAAACTTTCTAATTCAGATACTCAAATGAAACAGGGTGAATATGCCTCCACATGAGCATGGAGTTACTGCAACCACATAAAAGTGAATGTAGCAAACCTTCATTTTTGTTTTTAAAGGTGTGCCTAGATATCAGAAAATTGCATGAAACCATTAATGATGGTTCTATGTAACTATTAATTCAGAACCATAACGTCTCATATATTTTTAGTATCTGAAAGCATTCATCTGCCAAGAAGTTGGTATGTTAATTCTACAGAAACTGGACTTCAGCTAAATAGAACTGAACTGTAACATGCAGTGATGTCAGGTTTTAGCTTTTAGCTTAACTTCAGTGCTCAAAAGATCTCTAACAATTATTTGAAAAAAGTTGATCCTTTCCTGAAAAAATCAATGCATCTATGGAAAACTGTCTCTTTGGCTCAAAACATATTCCAATATAAAGTGAGGCTGAGAATATTGTAATATTCCTGATGTTTTCTTTTGCCATGTTGATTGCCAAAAGCAGTCTTGCAGGATGATGCATGCAGATGTAGGCTGAAGTTATCAAGCCTACCATAACTCCATTCCCTTTTGTTTATTTTGCACTGCTGAAACTATCTGCAAGTTTGCTGGGGGAAATTACAGGAAGCCTTACAGTTCTCAGGTTCCTACCTGCCCTTGGTGTTCAGGCTAACCTGGGAAAGGGCCACAGGGCCATATCTTTGGGCTATATCTACTGTTGCAGAGCTGTTAGGGAATGAAACAAATTATTGCAAGCTAAGAAGCACTTAGGGAGGTCTAGTGCAGGCTGCGTCAAGATGATATGGATCTTATAAATGAGTTTCCACAAACGGCTGAGCACACAAGAAAATCTGATATATGATGTGCTGTTTCATACCTTAAAACCACAACCATCAACTATGATGACAACTTAAAACAATTGAAAGTCTTGAAGAGATCATGGCCCTCAAAACTAAACATTCTTTTAAAATAAGCCAAAGCAAGCCAGTCATGTAATTAGAAACTACTTCCACTCTGCCAATTTTAAAATGCAGCCATTATTACCAATGAGACCACTGTTAATTCCTATATTTCTGTATTTTTTTATGCATCCCTTGCTTGTGTCACTCAGATCAAGCAGAACAAAGACACAAATTTGCAGTGCCCAGCAGCAATTAAGACTTCAAAAGAATCATTGGTGATGTGTCCACTTGGAAAATTTTATCAATTAAAGCAGTGATATTTCACTAATTAACCCCAGTAGATAGTTTTATTTTGGAGTATAAGTACCTATATGATTTATTTTAATACCTCTAAATAGCTGTAAGCCAAAATACAAGTCCCTTCTCACATAGGGAGTTACAGGGCTGTAACAACAGAAGTAGACTTGTCTAAATAAATACTGCAAAACCAGCAAGAGTCCTGCGGGAGACGCAAGTTTTGCTGAAAAGGTAAATATTTTGCTAGTAGTTACTGAACCCATTTTCTGGTTATTACAATGCAAAAGAATTTCATGGAATTACATAAAATTTGGCTGGAGTAAACTCTGACACTGTATGAATATAGCAGTTGACAGGGAGCTCTGTGTTTCTGCCCTACTGTTGTTTGGTGGGCTTGCTTCAGGCGCTTGCCTGAAGACTGGATATGGGCAATGTCTGATCATCCCTGGAGGGATTGAAACATAGCAGATATACATGGGTATATGTGGCAGAGAGCTTGCAGACCTGCTATCTCCATGAAAGGTAATCACTTTTTTGGAGGCAGCCAAGGTCTGCTCCCCTTAGTAGGAAACATAGAGGTGCCCTAAGATTTTGGTATCATGTTCTGGGTTCTTTCCAGTTGCACCAAATCTTTCTTAAAACTTGATGTCCTAAAGCCTTCATCTTAAAGGCTAACATTAAAAAAGTAGCATGAGATAACTACTTTCTCAGTCTTACACATGATGCTTTCATTTTCAAAATACTGGGAAAATGCTTTACCCTGCAGTGGCACTACAACCCCATAGACACTGTCTCCTTTCTGCAAAATAGACTCATCATTTTCCATTTTGTTTGTGCAAATATATCCTGCCCAGTTTTATCCCTTCAGGCTAATAAAACATTGATCACTAGTATCTGATAACTCATTTCCAACCAATCAAGCACTTTATTTCCCTCACTTGCTTATGATAATGTAATTTGAAATCCCTCCTAAAGCTTTACCAAGTTCAGGTTTTTGTTCAGGAATTTGTTTTCCTGCAAATTAATGAAATCAGTCCTATTTAAAAGGATGTTAATGACTGATCCCATGTTACCTGTTACTTAACCCATTTTGCTTAACATCCTCTGTATCTTTCCAGGAACTGAGGCAAGGTGACCTGGTCCATAATCTCCTTGTCCTCCACCCCAGTCCTCCTCCTCACTCCTTCCTCAGCATCAACCTTTTGAAACCTCTTCTTCAGTTCTAGCAACTGCATGGCTATTTCAGACTATGTCTGAAGCAGGGAAAAGTTCATCAGGACCAGTAAATTGGAGTAATCTTTAACCTTTTCATTTCCTCTTAGCATGCTTGCCATTAGTGATGCTTGACTATCAAATTGGGGTTAATGCTTCAGTGAAATCATATTTGTTTGTAACATCTATTATTAGCTCTCTCTTTTTCACTTTTCCCTGGGCTTTCTCTACATAGACTTTATGTTGCTTGTTAGCCGTATCTCATTTTGTGCTTTCTGTCTTTCTGATTTTTTGTCTACATCACATTAGTATATCTCACTATACAGACTGCTCATTCAGCATTTTGCAAGCTCTGGAGCGACTGAAGAAAAAGAATAAGCCTCTCTGAAGATAATTTCTTGTGCCATGCCAGGCTACAACTCATATTGCCAGAGGCATCTTAACTATAATCTGAGTTTACAAAGGAAAAAGGACATAATCTGTTGCCAAACATATCTGTCTCTAACACTGTACACCAACGCTTTTGTTGTGAGAAAATACTTTGCTACGTGTAGGTTTTACTGTATAAAACTGTTTAGAAATAGCACAGGACTTGCAACAGGCCTTTCAGAAAAACCTAACAGCAAAAACCCTACTGGGGCTTTAATTCAAGAACGGATACTATTTTTCTCTAGGTACATATATTTGTTTTGAGACCAGATCAACATGATAAACAGCTCTCTTTGGACTCAGTCATAATATTCGCATATGGACAAATCTGAAACGTAAAAATATTGCCAAAGGCAAAGTATTTGGAACCACTGAAATTAAGTCACTGAACAAATACATAAAGTATTAGTAGTGGGGGTTGCTCAGGAGCTTATGCCAAATCATTAACATTTTAAATGTGATGTTTAACATCCTCCGTATAAATATGATCTTTGGCATAAATTCATACTCTTCCACATCATCCTATTGACCTCACCATGCATATATGTAGCACTAAAAATTAGTGAAGGTTTTTATAAGATAAATATTAATAATTAAATTTCTAAGAAATATTACATTCAGTTCATGGCACACGATGCAAATTACTATTTAAAAATTAAAGGCATAGCGCAAATTACAAATTACTCGTGTCAGTGTATTTTTAGCTACTGTTATTACAATACATTATATTGGTACACACATATGTTTTATAGTGTTATAATAATATTAGTAAAATGTGTGATTTTCACTGATATAGTAATATTTATGAACGCAACGTAAGAGAATGAAATGTGTGGAGAGTTTCCATCTAGATTTGGCAAAGAGTTGTTTAGGGTTTTGTTTCTTTTTGTTTGTTTTTTAATGCTGATTCACTGAAAGTGAAATCTTTCCATGGAAAGGATAAGTATTGAAAAATCTTGGGCTTTATATAAAGGGGAAAAAAGTTCTTAACATTGTATATTTTTCACACGTATACAAAAAAGATCTTTTTTCCTTCAAATACTTTTGTATTTTCTAAACAACTAAGTGTAACCATTAAAAGTTTTAAATATTTCTGACTCAATAAAATTTTCTATTATTGGATCAAAGGCTAATGAAATATTTAGTATCGACTTTTCAGTCCCCATGTGAGATAAGAGTTTCATTTTCAAGTCTTGAAAATTTTCACAGGAAGAGAAAATTACTTACCGCCTAGCAAAGTTTATTTTTTCTCTCTTGGAAAAGTCAAATAAATATTTCATGCACACACAAGAAAAGAATTTTTAAAAAAAATCATGCTAGAACTGTGCCAGGGTGAATGCACCACTGTATATTATAAATTAAATGGTAAAATATCCACATGTTAAAAAGTTCTTTAATAGAGCAAACAAAGGAAAGCCCTTTCTTTTTTTGCCTGTCTGTTGCAGACACTCAGCAGGACTGTGCATCCAGTGAAGGGCTCATCTTATAAACTGTCTCCCTGCCAGTGAAACTGCATTTTAGTAAGGAACTGTGTAATGATTACCATATAAGAAGCAGCTTGTCAGAACTGGGAATTTTAAGGCATGACTGGTCAGTTGAAGGCAGGGGCCCACCAGCTCTGCCTTTAGCTAATGGGAAGAAAATTGGTGGGGTCCCACTGCTGGAGAAGCTTTGTTAGCAAGAGGGCAGTGATACAGCTTTGGAGCTGCGAATTGCTGGGACAGCAGGTAAACCCAGCATGCAGGAGTGGCTGTTCAGATTTGCCCTTAATTAGACAGTTTTCCTCTTTTTTCTGGTTGTTCTCCAGAACAAGAGAAGGAAAAAAATTTCACAAGATGGAAAAAGTGCTTGTAAAACCTTAAAAGGCAGTTGATTCCATGCCCAATGCCTTTCAGCTTTCTTTTCTTCCTTCCTTTCTTTTTTACATAAAGGACTAAGCTGCTAATTAAACAGTGTCCCATTAGGAAAACAGGTGGAGGGTTCGTTTTTTTGACTCCTGTCCTTTTGCCTCTCACTGGTTTCGTGGTCACTGTATCTATAGGCAAGCTCACCTTTCCGAAAGAGTAGATCGGACGCTTCCAGTCCTCATGAGCAGGCTCTGAACCTCCTGAGTGCTTGTTGTCAGTCCAGAGAGAGAGCCATGATGGCTAAGAGGAAGGTCAATGGACTCGGAACTGGTGTGAAGGCTAGTCATGGACTGGTAACTTGGTGTGTCCTTACTGCCCGCTGAAGAGCTGCTCAGGTTTGCAGCCCACACAAGAGCACCTGATGTGAAAGAGTGCACTGAGGCGGGACTGGAAGCCAAGGAGTGACTTAAGCTTACAACATCTGCATTTAAGTCCGAAGGTTTACTGAAGAGGGGGCTGCTGCTACCACTTTGCCCACCTGCACTGCCCATGCTGCCTGTGCCCGAGGATGGCGATTCCAGGCTGCCTTGCCGTGCCAATGTGGTACTAGGGCTGGGCATTGCCGATGTGGGTTTCACACCTTCAGTACTGGGTGCAGAGGCAGCTTTACCACTTGCCTTGGCACCAAACAACCTAAATGTAAAACAAATAACTTTAGAGAAACTGATAGCCGCATTAAACATTCATGGCGCAACATCCTAAGAGCCAAACTACACATTCTTAATTACCACTACTACAATCATGCCTACTCAGTTGATCAACCGCATCACAAAATTAATTTCACTTAACCATATCACAATAATCAGGGTTTGTTTCATTAGCAACAGCTCTCATTCACTCCTGCTCAGATGTGCCTTTTGCACATACAGACCCTCCCAGAGAGAGGTAAAGTAAGCACATTTTTGGCTTATTAGTGCATAAACAGATTACACTTTCACCCAAATTCGGGTATTAAGCGTTCCCACAGCTAAGTCATGAGCTTTTAAACCCTTCACTTGTCAAATCAGTTAAGAAGATTGCAACAAACACTTTCAAAATCCTTCATAGTTTAGTAAACATCTAAGTATTAGTGTAAAATTTCCCTCTTGTTCTTTTGCACAGCTGTTCGTGCGGTCATCGGTTATGTAGCAGCCATTCAGACAGAATAAACTGCACCGGAGCTAGATGGGCTCGGTTTGCCTCCAAGGGCAGTCATGACAGACGTGTATTTCACATAACTGCTTCCAGCAATTCTATAGAAGAAAATTCTACAGTGATGATGAAAAAAAAACCCTCTAAAAGTGTGGAAATAAAAAGTCATGTGATGACTTAATGTCTTACTGGAAACATTTTAAGCTGCAGTTAAGATGCAGCTCATAAAGTAATAAGAAATAAATGCAAAACTTAATGTGATGTAAAGTAAGCATGGCTAATAACATGAAAATCTATTTTACATATTACCAAGCCCACAAAAATCAGCTGCATCTCCCCTTCAGCCTGGAGATGCTGTTTTGGTAACTAGGCACAAGAGGGCACTATTGGCTTTTTCTCCAACAGCGCAAATGCTCCATCCCAAATCATATTTCATTCAGTTTTATCCTTCCAGAAACGTTACAATAGGGCATTTCCAATTGAAATTTAGCTTTGCTAATGTTTGTGATGAAAGATGTAACAAAGCTGCTAAGATAATGTAGCGCTGGTAGCTGGAGCTGCCAACAACGTGAAAGCAAATATTTGATTTATAGAGCTCTTCAGTTCTCCAACCAGGCTATGGCATCGCTTGTTCCAGTAACAGAATGTGCCGAATGTGGCATCCTTCTTCCCTTTCGGGGTTTATCAGAGTATTGAGGGGGAACTTCTTATGTGTCTGAATATTCAATAAAAACTTAGAATCATAGATAATTTCCAGTTGGAAAAGACCCATAAGGATCATCAAGTCCAACTTACTCTAGTCTTCAAATGGTTGTTATGGGAATATACGTACAATGCTCAAAGCTTAAAGAACAGCCCTTTCAGGTCTGGGGAGGTCTTTAGATCTTAGAGAAATAATTGCGTTGTGAGAAAAAATTTTACTCTCTTATTTTATTTTAACTTTGTTGTCTCTGTTTGTGGCAAAATATACTCTGAAAAGGCTTTTTGCCTAGTGCTTTGAAAGTCCCTGCCTTGTATACTGCAACTTCAGGAATTCATAGAAAAGCACTAACCTCCGAAATGTGGGTGAGGCAATATCTGGGTATTTGGATCCTGGCTGCCTAAGTCCTGGTGTTCCAGAAGCACTTGCCGAAGTTGGACTGGATTTGGGGGAACTGGACAGAGAGACGCTCTCAGAATCAGACACGGCCACCTTCTCTTTTTCTTTGTCCGTTTGGTTGATGGTAACAGGGCTGGACCGCTCGGAGCCGATCTTGCTTGGTTCTCGCAGTTTGGTGGCAGCAGCACCCGCAGACTTGCTGCTGACGTTGGAGTCGATGCTGCTGGTGCTGGAGCGGTGGCCGCCCCTGCCGGGGATCCCACTGCCACTGGATTTTGATGGGCGAGGCAAACTTCGATACTGCAGAGTCGTCTTCGAGTTCATGTGCAGGACGCCATCATCCTGGTTCTGCGAACCATCTAAGCTTGTCTTCCGCCCTGCATTGGACTTCCCACCGATGGCTGAAGATTTTGGCATTTTTCCTAGAGTTGCTGACCCGCTTGTGATAGTTGCGCCACTTGTGGTGATTATGGTAGAAGAGCCCATCCCGGACTTCTTGAATCCAAAAGACCCTGTAGCAGTTGATCTCCCAATGCCAGAGGGAGGCTTTTTTCCTTCATCGCCGCTGCTTTTTCCTGCATCTGATGGAGAGCGCTGAATGGAGGCTCCTTTCAGGGGAGTTTTCACCTTTTCTGAAGCTTTTGCATCATCTGTTTTTCCTAAAGAAGAGCATATTAGAAAAAGTCACTCATGTTTAGGTAGTAATGTCTCAATAAGTAATTTTAAAACTACATGTTTACAATTTCAAAATGGTAAAATACACAAATATAAATATTAGCCTAAGAAAACAGACCTATTTGATCTTTAGACCTCATCAGCAGTCAGTACCACGTGCATAGGTAAGCATTGAGTACTAAAAGCTTGAAATTCTCCTGAGAACTCCCAGTTTCATATATACCTGCAGTGCACAGATGTAGAAAAATATCCTGAATGGACCATAAGGAATTTTGTTTGGCTTTTTTGTTCTGTTAATAGTATTTCTATATATAAGAAATAATACTTGAAAACAAAACATGGCAGGTAATTAACATTTCCAGAAGTATGACATTAATTATGCATGTAGAAATTAGTGGTAGTTATTGAGATCTTTGGTTTTCATTGATTACATTTTTTTAGCTTATAATTAAGTTTGTTCTGGGTTTAGTTACACAAAAGTATCAGAGAGAGATTATGTTATCATGGCATGAATCTTCTTGATTTATAACAATATCAATTACATGAGTTAACAGTCTTTGTCATATCCCTGATATCTTTTCAAGATTTTTGGTTTTCTGAGAGGCTGTCTTCAGTACTATATAGGCACGTACATATATACCAGATTTTTCTACATATTGTTATTGTGTCATTCATAAAGGTTTAAATAAGATATTTTCTTCTATCGTAAGAGAAAATACCCTCTTTATTTTTTACAAAAAACTTTGCGGACAAAAATGCTGTTTCTCTTCTATTCTCGTTTGTCTTAAAGCATCTATTGTATGCTTCTTATAAGGAATGCAGATTCAGCGTAACAACACTTTAATTCACTCTTCAAGTGATTATGGAAGTTTTGGAGGCGGGTGGCCTAATTTCTCTCAAGGAACTAAACTGTAAAAAAGAGCAACACCTACAAATCAGAACTAAAGTAACTCACGTTTTTTTTTGGTGCACATTTTATGCTACACAAACACATGCACATGCTAAGATATGGATCAGACTCCTACACAGCGAACAGACAGACTGTTAGTATATGCTTGAAAAATTAAGGCCTCAGTTCTTAGTCGCACAGTGGCTGCCTGCTTATCTTCAGAAAAATAGATCTGGGAAACTTAGCTTGGCATACAGTAAACCTTTGCTTTTATTGGTGTGTTGTTTCTGTATTCATATGACAACCGACCATGACAATGCTCCTCAGGGATCTCATAGCCTAGAAGCTGACTAATGTTTAGCAGTTCCCAATTGCAAAGAAACAAAAGAAACTCACAAAGGATTTGAATTTATTCTAACTTTGTTAGTTGTCTTCACAACTGAGGGCTAAATCATGCTCATGCAGTATTTTGTCAGGACGTGACAAAGGCCTAGAAAGTGTCCTACAGAGAACTGATATTTCCCTAGTAAAATGATAGCTTAGATGGTCTTAATAATGGTGTCTTCCACCAAGGTTGGACTTTTTCCTTCAAGACTGGATAGCAGAAGTGGTTCCTACTTCTGAGAGACCATTCAAAATTAGGTGAGAAGTCATCTAGCACTGAAGGGAGTGTGTAAAAAGTTATTTTTTACCGTTTTTATCTTTTAACAGTGGTCTTTAGAATACCCACAGTATCTGGAATGTGACAATTCAGCTTTAGTTCAGAAACACTCACTTTGAATCCCCTCACTTGAATGTTAATTTTTTTATCTCAACTTCTAATCTTTGGCCATTTCTATGCATATGTTCAATTATCAAAGGTCCTGGTTTTCTAAAAAACAAAGATTAGGCAGAGGTGAATCCAAAAATATTTTTAAGAATTCCTTAATAGAAGTTGACATACTAAAAGGACAGTAAAACAAAATGCAATCACAGCTTTTATTATGGATACATTCCTGTGCCATTCATAAATTATTAGTATGCAGTGAAGCAAACTAACATTTATAGAGATGAACAAGTTAGTATATTATTACAATCTTGGCTTGCAGTCATTTATGAGAACTCCCAATATGCTTATGGTTCCCCATGTCTATTACACACTTATAATATCCATTAATTATATTTAGCCCACTAAAGATTCCTTACTGCTCATGAATGAAGTCTGAGTACAACACATTAATTTTCAGTGCTGTAATCTGAACTACAGAAGTTTCCTACCTGGGGTCTTGAGCGCACTCGTTCCTGCTTTCTGCCTGGACTGGGTTGCTCCTACTTGTGCAGTCATGCCTCTCCTCCAGGAGCCGGTCTGTGAAACAGAGAGAGACGCTTTCTGCCCTCCCTTCTCTGACTCTTCAGACAGTCCCGATGGAAGGCCTTTCCACTTGCCACTGCTGTCTACACTGCTGTCAAAGTCTTCCTCTGGTTTCTTCAGTTCTTCGGTGCTGCCCCAAGTTTCGCTGTCTGTAACTGAGCGCTTCTCCGAGTCCGTCTTCAGCTACAAGAGATTTGCAGCAGAAATGGTCAGTCTCAGCATCTTCAGTATTTGCTGATTTCTTAAATTCAGGAGGGGAGGAGGATAAGCATATTGATTTATTCATAGCAAGGGCTATGGCAACTTCCATTATAAAACATTAGTATCCTGGTCACAAAACATTATTTTGGGAAGACATTTTTCTTTTTCCTTTTATTTTCAAAAGATTTAAACTCTTTCCTTCATAGATAAACCATAATAAAGTGAAACATAATTTGCTCTAGTCATCAGTGGTGATACTCTCACCGCTCCTCAACTCCTGAAATTCTGTGCTGAGAGCTTTTACTAAAAGCTTGAATGAGGGAATTCCTAAACACACTATTAAAATCACCTCAGTCTGGTTTCATGCCTTTTCCTACCCAAGCTTTCCACTGACCAAATTAGGAATATTGCCCCAGCAGCACTGAGTATGTTGTGCCACCAGTGCGAAAGGGTAACATCTTCAGTAAAATTTTCAGTGCTACAGCTGATGGCTTTTCTACTGGTTTGTCTCCACTGAAACAAATTGTTTCTAACCAGAAACTCACTTTAGCTACATTAGCTAGCAAAGCAGAGTGGCTCACGCAAGCAGTGCCCACAAGCAGGGTGAAGGTAACTATCTGGGGTCATGCTTGCTACGAAACTCAGACCAATGTGGAAGATGTCCCAGCAAGGACTTAACACCCCTGCAGCATCTGCTTTCCCTGGTGTGTGCTGATAAGAGTGTGCTGCAAGGAGCAGCCCAACAAGACAGACAACACAGAAGCTGTGAAAGTGGCTTAAATGGAGACACTGGAGACTGACCCTACCCTCCGTATTTGACAAGACTTGCGTTGTTTGTGCTGACAGGCTGCTCACTGTAACCACTCCTCCTTCGTTTTCCTGCAGCCTCCTGACCTCAGCCTCAAGCCTTATCAGCACCTCACCAGTCCTGCTTACCTCTGCCCCTCCTGAACAGCAAAAAAGTGGTGCTGGTCTCAGCAGTCACCACAGTCTTGTGCAGCCCACCCAAGTGGGACTGCAAACTGGATCACATTCAGGGGAGGGCTATTTATTATTCTGTGTTGCTACAGCTACTTCTCCACAGAGACCCTTCTGTGGCTGTTTCCTAGGCACTGCTGTCATAAGTAGGATTAATACTGATTAGATGGCCAACAGAATATTTGTCATTTGAGGTGTACAAAATGCAAAGCTTTCTGCACTTTCATAATTTCATATGTGCTTTGGAGAGGCTAGCAATGATTTTGGGGAAGGATTGATGGGAAAAGAGCCCAAGCAAACATCTACACAAATATTGCAAGGTCCTTCAAAAGAGTTTTCATTAGTGTTTATTGTTACAACATGTGTAATGTTCCCAGAACTTTTCTCATAAATGAATGGTTATAAACACAGCTATACATTTTTAAAGCAAATTGCATAATTTCCAAGAAATGACAAGTATAATACTTTCTAAAAGCCTCTCTTTACCATTACGGGATCTGGAAAGCAATGTTAATCCTCTTTTAATAAGAAAACAACAACAAAATATGCAGTTTCTGCCTCAGGCTATAGCCTGCCTGCACTGCTCCGATCACTTAAAAAGACTGTTGCATGAGTACATCCTACACCTGGAGAACAGCTGGCAAAATACTTCTATATTGTGTTCATCTCAGCTTCTGGCTGAGATTGCAGGCTAGCATGGAGTACACTACTTTCTAATTAATCTGCCTAGTGAAGGCAGGCCTGACAGAGGTCTGTTCTCAGCAATCATAACATAAATCACCTGTGGCAGTAAAGCAACATTTGAACATGTGTTGCATCTCTGTCTATCACTGAACAAATTGCAAATAGTATCTGGCTGAGTATCCAGAATATGAGATCACTCAGATGAAACACTCACAAAGAATTAAATAGTCAGCCTGAGATTTCCCAGTCATGATGATGATGATGATGATGACGCTGATGATGCTGTGGAACAGCTAAGTCAGATTAGCTGGCCATCACTGTTGATGGGAAAGAGAAGAGGCTGATCTCCAGTTAGTAACCATGGGAGACCCTGATGGGGTGGGAAATGCAAAGGTAAGGGCTGAGGAATGCTGGCATCTGTGTGAGTACCTTAGCATGAATATAACATTGGTCTGAAATCTGTCCTACTGCAGATTAAAGCAATCTTATTCCCAGAGGAACTTTATTTCCCTGTTGTCTGGGGGAAATTACAAATATATGTTTTTCCTCTCTTGACAGTCTGCCACACTGCAAATCTACAAAACAGGTCTCTCAATTGCAGGCACTGGCTGCCTGCATGAGTCCAGATGGAACTGGGGCATCAGTCTTGTGTCCTGAATACTTGACATCAAATCACTGGAGGCAAAAACTCTTACCCTATGCTGAATGTTCAGTTCTTAAATTCCCTGCTTGTAAACAGGAGATGACACACCAGAGAATGCTTTTCTATTGGGACTAATTCTTCTGGTTTTATTTCTTTTTCTGGGGGGAACCAAGTCCTGCAACCATTCTGGCTTGTCTTTTTCATCACTTGCAATTTTGAGGGGGCCTGGGTAGAAATACTAGGATATCTGACACAAGGGCTTTGTGTATATATATATATATGTACACAGATACACACACACACAAATGTATTATGTATATAGCTTGTGGCTGTACACCACTCAGAACTCTATTTTGACACTATGCATTGTCAGCTTGTGGGCCCATGGGCCACTTTCATTTTATTCCTGGACCTAACTGGGGAGAAGAGAAGCTCTGTCACCTGTGCCCTGTTCCCTTCAGCCTCTTTTCTCCCAGCAGAGAGAACAGGGAAAGTACAGTACAGCCTATGTATTTCTTCCCAAGAAAGATGAAAAGTATCATTTTAAATTGCACTCTCTATTGAAAGAGATACTCTCCACAAATGGGATAAAGTGAGTAGAAATCCACCCATCACAGATCCAGTCATACTGTGTTTTCTTTGTACTTGGTTGCAGCAGGGGTTTGGGGCTTCCTGGGGCTGGGACCAGTGGGGACTCTCCCAAGGTTGGCAGAGCAGGGTCTCCCCAGCTGGAACCTTCAGCAGTAGGATATGCCCTGGGATCAGGGCATCTGAGGCATCAGCCCATGTGTCAGTGTTGGGCCCTGCTCAGTGGGGTCCGTGGGATTCTTGAACACAGATGTGATAGAGGAGTTTGTAAAATATGAATATTTCAGTTGTTTCAGAGGCATTATTGCTTTTTTTCCTCCCTGTTTTCCCTCATGCTTTTAGGGCTTTGCAAGAAATGACAATTAGAAGCTACTCACCTGGGCATGTGTGTTCTTTCTTGAAGAGGCAGTTATATTGGAATAAGAGCTGACAGATGAGGTGGTGTTCAAATCATCTGTGCTGAGGTTGTCAAGAGTGTCACTGAGGCCACTACTAACTGAGCTGCTGTCATCCCAGCTGCAGAGAAAGGAGCACATCTGCTTTACACACTGCACGTCAATAGGCAGAAAGCATATCAAAAACAATAAGATGCAGTTACTTGTTCTTCAAGAGGTTTGCCAGAAAATTTTCAGTAATTCTTCCTAATGTACAATGAATATTAGTTTTCAGACTTTTTAGTTAATTATTCACTCACTGTCAAGTGGTTGCTTGTTCAATTAATGAAAGACCCAGGTGCCTTTTAAAAAATTAACATTAGGTCTAAACAAGCACTAGTGTAAGTCATTAAAACAGGTTGTTTCATGCTTCATTGCAATCACATTCAGAAAACTGGCAGGGAAACCCATTAAACCTACCTGGTATTGCTAGCCAAATCATTATTAATAGCTTGGAGAACACCTGATGGATTTCCAGGCTACAGAAAAATAAAAGGAGTATCTCTTCTGCAGCCTAATCAAGTGTCAGCAGG